GTTATAAACCATTTGTTTTCAGAAGCTGGGAGCCTGCTTCCTGGCCACTTGGAACAATTTAGGGTTGCAGGTTTGCTGACAGATGAAGTTACATATCTCAGTCACTGGACATTTGAGATTTAAAGGCCATAAGAGCTGGAGGAAGGTAGTCACATGACTAGACTAGAGTGACATGCAAAAGGCTGTTACTCTGAGGGTTAAATCTTTTTGAAGAGAAAGGTCCTCACAACTGTGCTGCTATTTGCCATAAAGGGGCCACAGAGCCAATTTAATTGGCCCCCAGGGACAAAGCCCAGAGCAGAAAGAGTTTCCCTAGCAAGCATAAGGTCATTAAGATAACCCCATGATTCTACTTCCAACACAGTCCCCAGGATAGGGGCATGCCAGGCTAGAGCAGGACCACATTACTCTGCACTTCAGCTATTTTGGGCTAGAGGATGACCCATAAGTGGCCCCTAGAGTTGTTCTGACTCACACTGGGGGCAGATAGGCCTGCAGCCAAGCCCAGAGGTGTAAAGAACATATAAAAGCCATCTTTGCCCCATCTTTACCCCCCTTCTTGGGCCATACCCCCTCAGGAGGCACAGTAAAGAATCAAGGCCATCATCAGTAGTGGATCTTCTTATCAATAGTGCTGTTCAATGTTCTTGAGAAAGGATGCTTTTAGTGCAAATCCAGCAGATTTTGTGTTTTCAAAATGACTTGTATTACGAAATACAATGTGAAAAATAGCATTCTGGACCCTTTATAGTGATAATCATTCCAGATCCCAAGACAGAGATCCAGCAAAGGGGATACTTCACAGATCCAGTGCAGGACTCACCTTGGGCCCCTGGCAGATCACTCCTTTCACGCTTCTCAGCATTATCCCTGCAAAGACAAGAGTGGAGTTTACTCTCAGCAATTCACAATATCTGATCTCTCCTATCAAGTTGTCAAATGCGTGTCTTAGGAACTGTCATCAGCCATGGTGTATACAGTGTTCTTGTAGCCCTGCTGGTCCCAGGATATTAGAGAGAGAAGGTGGAGGAGGTAATATTTTTAATTGAACCAACTTCTGCCTGTGAGAGAGACAAGCTTTCGAGTTTACACAGAGCTCTTCTTCCATCTTCTCCCTCATCAGTCATGCTTTGAGCCTGTTCCATGAAGAGAGAATCCTAGTGAGCTCCCAAAAGAATAAATGAAGTCAGGTTAACCATGTATCCAGATGGGCATAAAGTATTTCTTACGTCAATGAGAGTGAAGACAAACTTTGCACGGTCTCCTTCTGGCTTTAGAACTACTTGCAAGCAATTGGTTTTCCTTTACTCAGAATCCTATGTCCACGCTCTTCCAAAAGTTAGCTAAAAATATGTCAAATATCATACAAAAACTTTATATGTAAGCATCTCCCAAATCCCAAGGTGAAGGACTTCGGGAAATATATGATTTTTGTTTAGTGCCAACTATAGCCAACATAGAGGACAAACTGTTCCTGCCCAACGAGCTTACCGTCTAAATAGACCAATAGGATTCCGACAAAGCATTAGGTGATGTGTATGTGCTTCACAGCAGTAAAACAGGTTATTAAAACAGCAGCACTGCCTTGGGGGACAGCATAGCAGATGCATCTAATGGAGAAGGGTATTTTGCAGAGATATTTGCAATAAGCACCATACTTGATAAGTAGCTTTAAAGACTGAAAGCCTTGGTCTTGTGCTCAGCTATCTTGAGGGATGGATATTCCCCTTTCCTTGTGATTTTAACAGGCAGAATCAAAAGATGATTCCTCTTCTGAATAAGAGAAGTCAGTTTAATATTACTAGATATTATGAAGCAGGAATCATGCAAGACAACACTAAGAGACATAGAAAGCTTCTCAATTCACTCCTGCTCCTACATCTGTCAGAGTCCGCTGCTCAACAGCCAGCTTTGGTTACCATGACAGAAGGAAAAGCAGCAAAATGCACAATAGACAGATTGAGGAAAGAACAGAGGGTCCCAAAAATCAATTCAATCAGGGTATTTGTGCCTAAGGCATTCTTCATAGCACTGTCCTAAAGAGCATGTGAGAACACAACATAAAATGTAACAGATTTAAAAAAAACTCTTCACTTGTTAGACGTTATTATATAATACATTCAATGCAAGCTACTAACCTCTCAGGAGTGGACGACTTTCAGGAACCAATAGGTTCTGATCTTCCTGTAGTTAACAGCTTCTGCACAGAGGAAACACAAAAGCTAATTTATGAAGGAAGACAAAGGTTACTAACTGGGTGGAATCGTATCTGGAATTCTCATTCTACTGAGGAGGAAGGAAAATAACTGAACACTTAAGGAAGGATGACATTAGCCTTGTAAAGAGGTCCTCTGATCTCACACTGAGCAATCAGTAAGAAACAAATTTAAAAGAGCAAGTTTTAGTTTTGCCACATAAAAAACTTGCCGAAATTCTTAGTTCATTCTACTCTCCAATGCCAGCACATAGAAGGATAAGAAGACATTGGTGAGGAACAGAAAGGAGTAATTCAACTTTTCACAAGAGTTTAACCCCTTTGTCTAGTAGTCATAAACTTCTCTACTATAACAGCTATTTCACTGACTTGTGCCTGGTCTTATTAAAATAAGGACTAAGTTCAAAAACAATCCAGGATGCCACTCACATTCTGCCACTAAGGAAATCTGAATTCAGTCTTTTGAGCATACTTTCAGAGCAGCAGCATCAACTGTGCTACTTGGAAGCCTCCTCAAGACATGGAGAATCCATCTCAAACCAGGCATAGCTTTGAACCAACATATATGTGAGTGTGGGAGAGGGGTGTCACTGAAGATCATTACAAGGCCCTACTCCAACACCAACTACTGCTGGTTCTGGAAAGCAAGAGGCAGCTCATTGAGTCATAGAATTCAAGGCCAGAAGGGACTGTTCTGACTATTCTGACCTCCTGTATGAGAAAAACCAAAGAACCTCACCAATAATTTCTACATCAAACCATAACTTCCATTTGAGCTATTACATATATTTTAGAACGATATCTAATCTTGATTTAAAGACCTCAAGTGATAGAGAATCCATCATGTTAGTAGATAAATTGTTCCCATAGTTAGTTACCCTCACTGTTAAAGTTTGCACCTTATTTTGAAATTGCTTGTGAATAGTAATTTTAAAAAGTAAACAGCAAGTAATTTTGGAGGCATCTCTGCCACACAATTAATTTACACATACAAGCATCTCCACCTCAGAGAAACCCTAATCTGGTGTCCCTCTCCCTACATTAATCTGAAAAACAAGTTTCTTTATAAGTATTAAAAAATGGATGTTTAGTACCAGTGTATTTACCACTGGATTCAAGAACCCCAAAATGAAATGATATGGCAGGAGAAGCCACACACCCTCCATGGCAGATTCACATACTGAATCTCCTCTCTCCCTACACTGTGTTTTCTACCCCGCTCACATATGCTCTCCCTCTGCTCCTCCCCAAATATCTTTTTACCATACTCTTCTAATGTGTCTCATCAATCTCTCCCTCTCACGCTACCTCACATGCACTTACAAAGGTTTCAGATATCTAATAGGCAAAGAATTAAAAATAGTCTCAGACTGCTGTGAAAAATGGTGACCCCAATCTACCCAGAAAGCAAGGAAAGTGAAAATGCTGACAGTTCTGCCAAACTGCTATTCCCAGATCCTACTATAGCTTCATCTTTCCCCGATGACTAGCTCCAGTGTTTAGTCTATTCAGAGCTTTTGCAGGTTGCAGCTCAGTGTGATCAGACTATCAATGTCACTGCTGCCCACAGAGGTCCCAAAAGCAGCAGCAAGAACTGAAGATACTGGTTAGTTTTCGCTCAATGGCCGCTTCGGAATCATTGAACATAATCACTGCCGTGTCTGTTATGAATAGCATCACTGAGTCAGCCACGTTGCAAAGGTTCTTCACAACACTAAAATCTGGGGCTTTCAAATCTGGGGGTGAAGGCCTTTCAGAAGAGTGGCAAAGGGCTACTGGGACCTAAAGGTTTCATGGCATTTGGAGGGAAAAGGTGGAAATTACTGAGAGGGCAACAAGGAAGACACATTAGGAGCCAAATATAATGGAGAAGTGGCAGCTGTGCCAAACAGAGTTCAGCACTGTGAGGCAAAGCAATAGCTGGATGGACCAAGCTGGGATCGAGTGAGACTCCAAAGGGCCACACTATTGGGTGGGGGAGATAGAGAAGAGGTCATAGCAAAGGGAAGATCCTGTGGGAAGGGAACAAATATAAATGAGGGCAAAAGCAGAAGACAGCATGAGTGAGGGCCAGGGGTAGAGGTGTTAAACTTGGGGCCCTGTCCCCCAAGCCACTCGCCCGCAGGGTGCCTTGGGGTTACAGCTCCATTGTCCCGATGGGTGTTTTTGGCTCGCTCCCCCCGGAACTTTCGAGGGCACGTAGCTGAGGCCTCTGAAAACTCGGAGACCCAACCCTCCCCCGCCACGCCGGAGCGGTGCTGCGAGCTAGGCGGCTGCCTCCCTGGGCCCATGACAGCCGAGCCCTCTTAGGACCCCATTCGCGTCGCCACAGGTTCTGCAGGGGCGGGTACACGCTTCATCACCATCCTGCGAGCGTCCCCAGCCCCTCCCTAAGCGCGGGTAATGGCGGGATACAGCTGCCCGCGTGCCGGAGGGCCTGTCTCGCTCGCCCAAGCACGGGACCTCGCGAAGGCTCACCGGCAGATGGGAACCCCGCACAAGCCACTAGACTGCTCCCACCGCACCCCTGGGCGCCGCCATCTTACAGGGAAAGAAAAGGAAGTCATGAAGGCATCTGCTTACTACGGATGCTCTGAGAGGACAAACCAGCAAGGAGAACAAAAACGCGCGGAGACGGGGAATGGCGTTCTCTGAGCCCCACCCCCAGCAGATTAAACCCGCCCTCAGGCTCCCCTCGCCGTGGAAGGGAATGGGATCTGCAGAGGAGGCGGGGCCGAGCAAAGCAGGAGGTGTGTCTGCTGGGGGCGTGGACAGACGCGAGGAGGGCGGGGCACGAGGCGCTCGCTCGCGCTGAGGCAGGAGCTGCCGCTGCCGCCGCCATTTTGGTTTCGCGGCTTCGGCTCTCTGAGAAGGGGCTGAAGCGGCGGCGGGCTGGTCCGGGTCCCGCCCTGGCCCCGTCCCTGAGGGCGGCCGGGAGGATGCGGCGCGGAGGAACCCGGCCCCGGCCTTGGCCGTATTGTCGCTGACACGGTGAGGAGGGGCTCGTGTCGGGCTGGGCCGGGCGGGGACTGGAGCCTCCACAGGCCCGGAGACCGGGGGGAGGGGAGCCTGGGCAGGGGGTCCGCGTTAGGGGTACCGCCCCACCCTGTCCCCGATAAACATGGTGCTCAACAACACACGCAGGTGGCGCCCGGGCCCTCCCCAGCCCCTTCTCCTGAGCCTTGGATACGTACGGGGAATCCCTGACAGCCAGGCCCGTGCCTGGGGGCGGGCGAGAGGCGGCGGGGGGGATCCCTGACAGCCAGGCCCGTGCCTGGGGGCGGGCGAGAGGCGGCGGGGGGGATCCCTGACAGCCAGGCCCGTGCCTGCGGGCGAGCGGGCGGGGAAAGGGGGATATCCCTGACAGCCGTGGGGCCCCTGG